AGAGAGAGACAGACAGAGACAGACAGAGAGAGAAAGAGCGAGAGATGAGTGCAACTGAATGCCTGACCTTAATTGAAACACGAAAGCCCGCCGCCCACCGCCGACTCCCACAATAGAAGGCGTGGGCGTGATTTGTGAAGGCGAGAAGGAAGTTGATTAGCTTAGTTAATTAATTGGATATCTCGAGATGCTGCCGCCTTGCTAAGTCTCCGCTGGCGTCTTCCCGTTTTTTGTTTGATTTTGTTCTATTGTTTTATTTTCGTTTTTTTTTTTCTCGGGGTTGTTTGCTTTGTGTTGTTTTGTTTTCGTTGTTTGTTTATTTTTGTGTCATTTGTTTGTGTTCCCTTTGTTTTTTTGTTTTGTATTGTTTCTTGTTTGTATTTGTTTCTTGTTTGTTTTGTTTGTTTCTTGTTGATATGGTTTGTTCCTGTTTGTTTATTGTTTATATATGTGTATTGTCTGTGTTGTTGGTGTTGTTTCTGTAATCTGTTTGTTCGTATTTGTAAACGTGTGTGTAATGTAGTGTTATGTCTTGTGTGCGTGCGTGTGCGTTTGCGTGTGCGTTTACGTGTATGTGTGTAGGGGAGGGGGGCAACCAAACAAACGACATTCAAACGGCCAAATAAAAAAAAAAGCGAGGATTCCCTCCCCCCCCTTTCACCCCCTCCTTGCCCGTCCCCTCCTCCTCTTTCGCCCTCTCCCTGCCACTTCCCCCCCCCCCCCCCCGTTCGCCTCTTCCTTGCCCCTCTCTCTCTTTCGCTCCTTCCCTCCCTGCCCCCCTCCCCCTCCCACCCACGACGCCTTTCGTAACAGGTCCTCCACGCGTCACGTTAAAAGGCTTCTCGGCTGAGCCACCTCCGCGCGTTACGTCATGCGCCTCGTCTCCGTGGCGGCGAGAGGCGCGGTAACTCGTCGCAAGAACAAGGAAAAGAACGAGGAAGATGGAGGAGGAGAAGGAGGAGAAGGAGGAGGAGAAGGAGGAGGAGAAGGAGGAGGAGAAGGAGGAGGAGGAGGAGGAGGAGGAGGAGGAGGAGAAGGAGGAAGGAGGAGGAGGAGGAGGAGGAGGAGAAGGAGGAGGAAGAGAAGAAGAAGGAGGAAGGGAAGAAGAAGAAGAAGAAATAGAGGCAAATGAAGAGGCAGGAGAAGAAGAAAAAGAAAAAAAGAGGAATAGGAAGAGAAAGAGAAAGAAGAACAAGAAAAAATCCATTAATGATGAGGGGTCAGAGAACAAGGCCCGGACGAGACGCGGCGGCGCTCTCTGCTGCGGGGAAATGGATGTCAAGATCCGTCTGCTTGAGATATGAAGAGTTATGCAAGATGATCGTGTGTTGTTTGTGGGGTGGGGGAGGGGGTGGGGTAGGGTGGGGTGGGGTATGGTAGGGTGGGGGTGTTGTGTTTTCTTGGGGTGCTGTTTGTTAATGTTCAAGATCGTTCTGCTTTATGGAGTGTTTGAGGAAGATAGAGATAGAAAGATTTATGCAAGATCGTGTGTTGTTTGTGGGATGGGGGGAGGGGGGAGGGGGTGGTTGTTTTCATGGGGTGTTTGTTGGTTTGTGAGTTTTTTGGTTTGTTTGTTTAATTGTTTGTTTATGTTCAAGATCGGTCTGCTTTGTGGAATGGTTGAGGAAGACAGATATAAAAGATCGTGTGTTGTTTGTGGGGTGGGGGCGGGGGGAGAGGGTGGAGTAGGGTGAGGGTGGGGTAGGGTGGGGTGGGGTGGGGTGGGGTGGGGGTGGTTGTTTTCTTGAGATGGTGTTTGTTTCTTTGTGAGTTTTTGGGTTTGTTTGGTTGTTTTTTGTTTTTCTTCTCTCTCTCTCTCTCTCTCTCTCTCTCTCTCTCTGTCTCTCTCACTCTATTTCTCTCTTTGCCTCTTCCACTTTCTCTTCATTTCCTTCATACCCCTCTCTCCTTCCCTAATTCATCGGCTAATAATATTTTTCTATCTAAGTATACTGGGAAAACGCAAAGAAAAGTAGTTTAAAAAAAATTTTTTTTGGGGAAAGGGAAAGGAAAGTGCGGGTATGGATAACGAAGGGGAAGAAGAGAAGGAGGAAGAGGAAGAGGTGGAGGAGAAGAGGAGGAAGAAAGAGCAGACTATGTTGAAAAATTGAAGAAGAAGAGGAAAGGAGAAGAAAGAAGGAGAAGGCGGAGGAGGAGAAGAAGTAGAAGTAGGAGAAGGAGGAGAAGAAAGAAAGAAAAAAATGATAATAAGGAGGAGGAGGAGAAGAAGGAGAAGAAAGAAGAAAGAAGAGAAAAAAAATAAAATAAAAAAATAAAAAGAAAACTTAAGAAAAAGAGACAAGGAGGTAAGGGGAAAGAAAGACAGGAGGCGTGGGAGGGAGTAGGCGGACAATAACCAGAAGCCTGATGGTAAAATCAATGTGAGAAAGTGCATAATCAGGAAATGAATAGATAACATTGAGCAACAATCACTAAGAAAAAAGATAAACGTAAAAATGAGAGAAAGAGAAAAGGAAAGCAACTTAGAGAAGAAGGAGATGAAGGAGAAAATAAAGAAGCAAGAGAAAAGAAAGACTGGAACGGATAACGAGACTCAGAAACGGTGAGAGTAAGTGCTACCACAGGCGACATACGGGGAAACATTGATAAGCCACATCACCTACTTACACACAACAACCTTCTGCACTCCCACTCTTCCCCAGCCACAGATCACCCTCCCACATCAACAATTCAGGCAACCCATTCTATAATTCTCCTTCCCAAATAAACCTCCTCCCTCTCCCTCTCCCTTCTTCCCCATCCTCTCTCCCTCTCCCTCTCCCTCTTCTTCCTTCCCCCTCCCCTTTTTCTCTCCACCTCCCCTCGCCTTCTGCCCTCTTTCTCCCTTCCCCACCGCCCTCTCCCTCTGCTCCTATTCCCCATCCTCCTCTCACCCTGCCCCTTCTACCACCCCCATGCCCTTCCTTCGCCTTCTACCTCTCCCTCCTCCTCTCCCTCTTCCTTATTTCCCACCTCTCCCCTCCCATTCCCATTACCTACCCTTCCTCTCATTCTCCCCTCTCCACTCTCCTCTTCTTGAACAAGCTTCCTTATCCCTCCTTATCTTTGCTTTCCCTTCCCCTTCATTCCCTCTTATAACCCTCCTTCCCTTGATCCTTCTGCCCCCCCCCCCCTCCGTCCCCCCTACTTCCCGTCTCTCCTCAGCTCTTAATCTAGTATCCTTACCTGTCTTTACCCCTTTGGCTCTTTCGTTTCTTTCCTTGTTTCTCTCTCTTCCTTTAATTTGTTCACTCTCCCTTCCCTTCTTCCTTAATTCTTCCTTAATTCTTCCCTCCCTTTTCCCGCTCAATCCCTTTCTCTCTCTCTCTCTCTCTCTCTCTCTCTCTCTCTCTCTCTCTCTCTCTCTCTCTCTCTCTCTCTCTCTCTCTCTCTCTCTCTCTCTCTCTTTTTGCTTCTTCCCCTAAATCACTCCTCCTCTCTTCTCTCCCTCTCCTTCTCCCTCTTCTATCTTGCCTTCCCACCTTCCCTTCCTCTCCCCGTAAATCCCTCCTTCCTTTTATTTTCCCTCTTCTTTCAAACCCTTTCTCTCTTCCTCGGTCCCTCTCTTCCTTCCTCTCCTCCTTATCTCCTCCTTTCCCTCCTTCCCCTCTCCCCCCCTCCTCCTTTCCGCTTATACCTCCCCCTCCTCCTCATTAACACTCCCTTCCTTCCCCTACTCCTCCCTCCCTCCCTCCCTCCTCCCTCCCTCCATCCCTCCTTCCCTCCTCCCTTCCCTCCCTCCCTCCCTCATCACAACAATTCCCTTCTTCCTTTCCCTTCACCCTTCTTCGCCTCCCTTTGCCAAATCCCCTTTGCCGTGGGGGGGGGGGGGTGCATAAACTCTTACTTAAAGTTAGTGCGACCGGGGAGAATGCTAATATGTTTTCAGACCTAGGAGGAGGGAGAGAGAAGGAGGAGGAGGAGGGAAGGAGGGAGGGTTGGGCGGGAGGGAGGGAGGGAGGGAGGGAGGGAGGGAGGGAGAGGTGGAAGTAGGTAGAGAGGGAGGGAGAGAGGGAGGGTGGATGGGTGGGAAGGAAGGAGGGAGTGAGGGGGGGAGGGAGAGTGGAAAGGTGGGAGGGAGGGAGGGAGGGAGGGAATGAGAGGTGGAAGCAGTTATGGAGGGAGGGAGATTGAAGGAGTAGGAGTGGGGGGAGGGAGCGATGAGGGAGGGAAGGAGGTAGGAATGGAACGGGAAAAACGAACGGCCGAAAGGATGAGAGGGAGGATGAAAAAGAGAAAAAAAAATGTCAGACAAGAAGAAAGGATGGAGAAGAAAGAAAGAACTGGAGGATGTAAGGAAGAGTAAAAAGGAAGCAGAAGGAGAAAGGGAGAGCCGAGATGAAAGGGAGGGAAGGAATGGAGTGAGTGCGTAAGCAAGCAAAAAAAAAGGAAAATCTGAAATAAATGTTCCAGAAATAGAGATAACACCAACAGAATATATTATATTACGGAATATATAATCATAAGCTTTTTATTATGTTCATTTGTTTTATACATATTTTTAGAGATTTATATTTGATGCATATATATATGTGTGTGTGTGTGTGTGTGTGTGTGTGTGTGTGTGTGTGTGTGTGTGTGTGTGTGTGTGTGTGTGTGTGTAATATTTCACAATCCTTTTTAAGACGATTAACAATTTTACTTGGCTTTAGTAAAATGAACGTATACCATTACTGTATATAAATATTCCTTTATTTTTAGATACTGGTTGTATAATTATACCCACCTATTATATATATATATATATATATATATATATATATATATATATATATATATATATATATATATATATATATATATATATATATATATATATATATAGTATCTAGACACACATACCAACTTTATGTATCATTATTTTAACTTTTTTATGATTTAGTTAGGCATACTTTAAATAGCAGCGGAATGTATTGATTCCAATGAATATATATAGGCCTATGTTTACGCATCGATGCGGGGATTGATAAACTAATAATTTTTTTTCTCTCTCTCCTCAGGTAAAGCATATTGATGGTGGGACGGAGGACCTGTGAGTAAAAGCTCTTTGGTGTTGCAAGGAATGTGCAAGGTGTTTTGTGAGTGAGTGAGTGCGAGTGTGAGCGGAGAGAGGGAGAGGGAGAGAGGGAGAGAGAGAGGGGGAGAAGGGGAGGGAGAGGGAGAGAGAGAGAGGGGGAGAAGGGGAGGGAGAGGGAGAGGGAGAGAGAGAGGGAGAGGGAGAGAGAGAGGGAGAGAGAGAGGGAGAGGGAGAGGGAGAGCTCGCTCATTCGGCCAATCATATTTATTGATTGGACTTGCATTCCTGGCGCATTTTTGCACTCGTTCACGGGCATACTTATTTTTTTCTCTCTCTTTCAATCACATTCTTTATTCATTCAACTTTACTTTTCTTAGTCTGTGATTTGCTCGCTTGTACTTCCATATTACTCACACTTACTCACTCGTTTTATTCATTTATTCATATTTCTCGGTCCATCTCTTACTCACCCACTCCCTCCCTCACTCACTCACTCATTCACTCATTCGCACTTTTAGTCCACTCTCATACTCACCTAAACACTTACTCACTCATCCACCTTCCTTCATAATTTATTCATTTATTCTTTCGTATTTTTATTCAGTTTCACTACCTCACTCAATCACATTCCTCGGTCCACTCGCTTACTCACCCGCGAACTCACACTCACTCATCCACATTCCTCAGTTCACTCTCTTTACTAACTCTCACTCACGCACTCACTCACTCGTGTATTGACTTATCTTCACCATTCACGCGAATTCATTCAGCAAGTCAGCAGTCGTGAGGTCAGGGTATAAAGTTCCCGGCAACCCGAGATATTGAAATACGGGTCGCACTCCGTAGATTTATTCCACGCTGCCGATGCGTCTCCATTGAGAGGCATTCCCTTTAGGTTCGGATTCCCATGGCTCGCCAATAGATAACTCGCCCTTATCGGCCCACGCTTTCGCCGTCTGAAAGGACTTGGGGATGGGAAAGGAAGGTTGTCATTTACTTTTTTTTCCCCTTTTTTTTCTTTCTTTATCTTGCCTTTTTGTTGCTGTGGTCGGTCTTGGGATTTCTTTATGGTGGTATTTTCTTTTCTTTTTTTCACTGTCCTGGCTTTCATCTTTTCCTGCCTTTCTGTTGCGAATCATCGTTCTATCTTTTGTTTTTCCCTCTTTTTTTTTTCTTCTTCTTCTTCTCCCTTTCAGGATCTCACAGACAGGGGGACTTGAACCGACTCACTCTTGGGGAAAAGCCAGAGGGAATGGTGCTGAACCACTCTGCCACACGACACTGGGGGGGGGGGGGGAGTTCTTTTCGTGTCTCGTGAACTCACAACACTAGGCCACGGGGGAAGGTAGGTAGGCAGGTCTTACAGTGTGTCACAAACCAACAGTGTTAAGCCACGTGACACACTAGGTAGGCAGGTCTTATAGTGTGTCACGAAAACCAACAGTGTTAAGCTTTTCGACACCAGTTGGGTAATCCTTTTTAGTGTGTCGGAAACCCACAATACTAAGCCACATGACACACTAGGTAGGCAAGTCTTTCAATATCTCTCATGCCCACAACACTAGGCCACTAGATAGACAGGTCTCTCAGTCTCTCGCAAACACACAACTCTTAAGCTACACGATATTCTAGGTAGAAAGGATATTTGTGTGTGTGTGTGTCACGAACCGACCACACTGAATCGCACGACACACTAGGTGGGCACTAGCCTGGTATGCTTTTAGTGTGTCATGAACCACTAAGCTACACGACACACTAGGTAGGTAAGTTCTTTCAGTGTGTCAAGTGGTCAAGTGGTGTCGTTCCGTTGTGTCTGGTTGATTGCCTAGAGTGTGTGGGTTCGAGTCCTAAGCGGGGAGAATGTGCACACCTGGAGAAGATTTAAGGAGGGGCAGAGACAGTAAGGGAGGTGACGTCCGATTTGTTATTTGTTATTGTATAATGGGCGTGTTTTATTTAATATTGGCGCTAACGTTACTGTTTTTTTTTTCTTTCTTTCTTTTTTTTTTTGGGGGGGGGGGGGCATTTATACAAATAGGTTGTTATTTTTTGGCATTTATACGAATAGGTTACTGAGTTTATCTATTTTATATCTTTGTTTATATCTTTATGCTGGCTTGGTTCTGTTAACTACATTTTCTTTCGTTTTTGTCTTATTTTATTCCTCCATCCATCTCTTTCTTTCCCTTGTTTTTCCTGTCTCTTTCTCCTTCCATTTGATTCATTCTGATTGTTGTTTTCTTCTGGTTTTCGTTGTTTTGTTTTTCTCTATCCCTTGTTTTCTTTATATTTCGTCTGTCTCCGTTTACCTATTCTTTATCTCTCTTTGTATATTTTTCTCCCTCTTTGTTTTCTTCCTCGCTATTTCTTCTATCTATCTTTTTTTATTTTCTTCTCTCCGTTTCCTTCTCCTTTCTGTCTTTGTGTCGTTCCTCTTTTTCCCCTTTAGTCCCCCCCCCCTTTCTCTTCCCTTACGCTTTCCTTTCATTCGCTTATCCAGTTAGCCCTTAGTCTCATTCGTTTTCTATTTATTTCTTGTTTATTTTCGCCTGGTCCTCCCTATTTTCGTTTTTCACCCCTCTCATTTTTCATCTTTATTCTGTCTCGTTCTCTTTTCCCTTCTTCTTCTGTCTCTATTTAACTCCTTTTCATCTTTCCTCATTCCTTGTCATTCTTTCTTTTTTTATGTCTCTATTCTACTTTTCCTCATTCCCTCTCCACTCTTTTTTCTCTTTATTTCATTCCTTTTCTCTTTATTTCATTCCTTTTCTCCTTTTCTTATTCCTTCATTCACTTTCTTTCTCTTTATCTCTTTCCACCTTTCCCCTTTCCCTTCTCCCATTTTCTTTATCTGTTTTATTCCCTTTTTCTCCTTTCTTTCCTATTCTTTCTTTCTCTTTGTCTCATTCCTTTTCTCCTTTCATTATCCCTTCACGCTCTCTCTTTCTCATACCATTATCTAAATCCCTCATCCCTCTTTCTTTCTCTCCCTCTCATCCTCTTCCCCTCTCCCCCTCTCTCCCTCCCTTTTCCCCTCTCCTCCCCTCTCCCTCTTCCTCTCTCCCCTTCTCCCTCACTCCCTCTCCTCCTCTCCCTCTCTCCCCTTCTCCCTCACTCCCTCTCCTCCTCTCCCTCTCTCCCCTTCTCCCTCACTCCCTCTCCTCCTCTCCCTCTTCGCCTCTCCCTCTCCTCCCCTCTTCCATCCACCCAGCTTTTTATCATTAGAAGTGTGTTTGAGAGGCAGCCGTATGCATATGACGCCTTAATGCCCAGACACGTGAATAAAAAAGTATGAAGGGAAGAAGGGGAGAGGGGAAGAGGGGAAGAGGGGGAGGAGAAAGAGGGGAGGTTGGGATACATTGTAAAGGGGGGAGTTAAAGAGGGAGGGAGGGAGGGAGGGAAAGGGTAGGAGGGATGGAGGGAGGGGGGGAGAGGGAAGAAGAGAGGGAAAAGGAAAGGAAAGGAAAGGGGAAAAAGAAGGAGAAGGGGAGAAGGAAAAGGAAAAGGAAGAGGAAAGGGAAGGAGAGAGAGAGAGAGTGAGAGGGAGAGAGAGAGAGAGAGAGCGAGAGAGAGAGAGAGAGAGAGAGAGAGAGAGAGAGAGAGAGAGAGAGAGAGAGAGAGAGAGCGAAAGAGCCCGCGTGATATTAAGCAATTTCGAGAAGGCTTCGGGCTTATGGTGTTGGCGGAGGCGGTCGAGGGGGGCGGGGGGGGGGGGGCAAGAGGGGAAAGGGAGAAGGGGGGGTTGGAGGAGAGAGAGAGAGGGGGGGGGAGAGAGAGAGAGGGGGGGGGTTGGGGTTATCCAAGCTGAGTCTAATTTGGTTATGGAATCTGGTGTTGGTTGGTTAAGTCCAGAGTGTGTTTCATGTCAACATTTTTTTTTCTTTAAGAAGTTTTGTTATTATTTCACTTTGGCTAAAGGGGGGAGGGGGAATGGATGGTGGGAGGGGGGGGAGGGAGGGGGGGGGAGGGGGGAAAGGAAGGAGGGAGGGGAGTGAGAGAGTAAGTGAGTGAGGGGAGAGAGGGAGGGGGAAAGGAGGGAGGGATGGGATGGAGGGAGGGGATAGGATGGAAAGGAAGGGAGGGAGGGAGGGGGAGAGAGGGAGGGAGGGAGGGAGGGAGGGATGGAATGGGGAAAGGAGGGAGGGAGGGTGGGATGGGATAAAGGGAAGAAGGAAGGAGGGAAGGAGAGGAGGATAGGGAGGGGAGTGAGAGAGTGAGTGAGTGAAAGGAGGGGAGAGAGGGAGAGGGAAGGAGGGAGGGATAGGAGGGAGGGAAAGATGGAGGGGAAGCGAAAAAAAATATTTCTTAACTTGTTTGATCGCATGATTATTATTATTATTATTATTTCTCTCTCTCTCTCTCTCTCTCTCTCTCTCTCTCTCTCTCTCTCTCTCTCTCTCTCTCTCTCTCTCTCTCTCTCTCTCTCTCTCTCTCTCAGACGTATAAAAATGAACTATGATTTTACATGGTGGATATATGAATTAGATTTTTTTCCTGAAATATGATAAGAATTGCATTCAGATGAAAACAGAGAGGTAGATAGAGAGTGAGAGAGCGAGGAGAAGATTGATAAATAGATAGAGAAATAGATAGATAGAGAAAGAGAAAGAAAGCAAGAGAAAGAAAGAAAGAGAAAGTAAGAAAGAAAGAAAGAAGGAGAAAGAAAGAAAGAAAGACAGGAAGAAAGCAAGAGAGAGAGAGAGAGAGAGAGAGAGAGAGAGAGAGAGAGAGAGAGAGAGAGAGAGAGAGAGAGAGAGAGAGAGAGAGAGAGCGCAAGAGGGAGAGAGGCAAAAAATGAGAAAATTTCGCTTCCCAATTATTTCGTCCAATCGCGCCCCAAGGTATGACTGTCATAACGGCCAGATAGGAAAACATTTTTCGAAAATCTTCTTGTTTTTCAGTTTATTTATTTATATTTTTTTCAGTATTAGAAAAAAAAAATGTGCATATTTTCATTTTGATTTGTTTATGTTTTTTGATCAGTTGGTTCGTTTTATTATTTTATTTTTGTTTTGTTTTGTTTTATTTTTTTTTGTTATTTTTATTATTTTATTTTTATTTTTGTTTTGTTTCGTTT